AATACTAACCCATGTGATTGGGTCAAATCGGAACACAGAGTTTGGGCTATGTTCCTATTGGTGTGCTTGAGAGTGTCAACACAATAAGACATCAGACACAAGTACAGCACTCTTTTTCCTGCTTCTGTGTGGCACAAGTGGTCAGACACTAGCATTTTTCCCTCTTCACTTTCATCTCCCACTTTATAGCTCCGTCTTTTGAATGCTCCTACATCTTTGTCTCCATCCTTGGTTGTTCGCTATGAACAGTGACTCTTCTTCGCAATTATAGTCTATGCCCATTTTCTGGACACCCCTGGTCACTCTGTGTACTAAACCCACTGGTGATGAATCAATTCCAACCCATGCCAACCCATAGGTACCAGAGTAGAATTGTGACCCACGGGGTTTTAAATAGTTGATTTTTGTGGGGGAAGTAAACCACCAATTCTTTCTTCCTAAATAGTTCTGGGTTAATGAAAACCTCCAACCTTCTGATGAGCAGACAAATACATTGACATTTTGTACTACTCAAGGACTCCACGCAGTAATGCTCCAACTCAACTCATCCTGGTTCTCTGAATCTAGTTCCAACGTCAACCCAGGTGGCTAATACCCTTTCCAGTCTTGTCAGGTGCCTGCCAATGGGGGCATAACACAGGACATGTTCACCAAGCAACTCTGAAGGGCTGAGGGCTGGAGAGCAAAATGGCCTTGTAGACCGAGCCAGCATCCAGAGTAGAATGGCAGAGTGGCCCTCTATTGCCTCACACATTTTTGAGACATCTCCAAATTGTACAGTAGCTGCGTACCAACGACCAAAGTTTAAGGGAAAAAACAACCCCCAAGTCCCAATCTCCTTTCTGGCAAACGAAAGTTTGGAAGTTCTTCTAAGGAGGAAAGATCCCCCCCCAAATCTGCTGCACCTAGGATACGAATTGACCTGCGAGCTGTGTTCATCAAAATAAGGTCCTAAGGGAATACACACTTTCTAAAGCCTCTTACTTGAGGCCCCCAAGATTCAGTGGGCACCATGAGTGACATAGGAGAGGTACGATCAAGGGGAGTCAGTCAAATTAGTCTAGTGACAATATTTCCTTTTGGAAACATCTAGAAATACATACCTTAAATGTTGGTCCCTGAGCTTAACGAAGGTCTGGTTTCTAGAAGTACGAACTCATCAATGACCCAAACAGAGCATGCTCATTTACCTTGGGGCTCCAGGGAGCTGCTCTCTCCGGCGTCCTGGCTGCCATGTTCAATGGAACTAGCTCTTTTAACGCCCAAGTGGACATATGCAGGTTAACTTGTTTGGCTTGGTAGAGGATCTTATAACAAGAAAACTCCTACTTGAGCATTCATGCCCCGTCATTTATATAACTCATGGCTGAATGAATATAAATTACTAAGTAATAGGGGTCTAATAAAGGAAGGTTTATATTAATTCTGAAAGAGCCTGGGATCTGAATGTAGATGAAATGGTTGAAGTCTTTTCCTACAAGACATAGCTGAATGACCTAAGGGGTGCCACTTAGCTCTTTGAGGTGGCAATCCTAATACATAAAGAAATTAACGTTCAAAGAGTTGCAATGACTCTTCCAGGGTCACAACGTCAGGAAATGATAGTGATGCGGGGCAGGGATTCCGGCGGAACTCGGGCTTGCAGCCCCCAGCTCTTCCAGGGCTCCCCTGACATCTGACAAGGTCATGTGTCGCAAGAAATGATTCCTGTCGTCTAAAAGCCGATACTGAAAATGTCATGCTTTTCGGTGATTTCATTAACATTTTCAAATGTTAACAATTCTGTCAGCCCAAACGGAAAAGGACTATGTGAGAAATGAAAGCTTGCTAAGGCTTGCATCCTTGCATAAAGCTTGCATCCTCGATTCGTGGCTCATTATCCTCATGACTTCCATTGTGCAGGGAGGAAGCAGGGTCAGCCTCACAAAATTTAGGAACAATTAAGAAAATTACTGTATGCAGACGTGACTTATGGGCTGAGAATAACTAACTTGCTAAACGACTGCATTAAGCAAAATAAATAAAGACGATGAAAACTCCACAGAGGTTTCAGGGCTTAGGGCAGCTTTTCGGTTATTCAGTATCAACATTCCTGCTAGGCTTTTGCCCACTTCCCTGACCCCTTTCTGGTCACTTTGAAATGTTCTCTTTCACTCTATTCCTCAGGGAGTTTTCTGGGCATATTTTCTGAAGTTCTTTGAGTGCAGTTCTCAAACACATCCAGAAATATTGTCAGTGACCCCGAAACATTATGGATTGCTGCTAGGCTTCAAACCTCACTCATTTCCTCTTGAAAATGTCCAAAGTGAGTAGAATAAACAACATGCACCAACAGCAACAATGACAGGTTACTCACTAATCTAACATCCCACCCCCCACCAAAAAAAGAGGAAAGGAAAACCACATGGGGAGCATTTAGAAGAACAGAGTGTGTTTTCTTATTTTAGACAATATTTTATTGATCTACCAGCCACCCATTGTCCTGCTATAGCAGCAGATGATGGAGGGTGCCAATAAAACATAAAATTCCTTTGCTCCCTCTTATGCCAATTTCAATAACTATCCTTTAAGGCCTGCTACATGCCAGGCATCAGATGAGGCTGAATAATCGTGTCTCTGCTTAATGGAATTTATATTCTAGCTCAGAAGTCAGACACATAGACAGATAATGATGATGAAATGGGATAAGTACCTTCATATAATTTCATGTGCAAAATGCCATGAGACCTTGTGGCAAGAGGCCCAGCATTTCATAAAAATTACCTTCGAGGTGCCAAGCAGAACAGTGCTATCTTTATAAAACCACCCCACCCCCAAAGGTGTATTCAACCAAAGTCAAAAGGTACTCCTCTTTGTAGTTTCTAAACATTTTTAGATCCAAAGAGAACCAGTTTTAGTCTATCCTTCATTTTACATGAGACAGAAAAATCCTAAATAACTAATGTCATTTTCAAAAGTGATTTTTTCTATGTCTGTTGTTTCTCATAGTCCTTTCAAAATAATGGCCTCTAGAAATTATAATCAAGGTTTGCTTGGATGTTTCTTGAGACAGAAAATGTTTCTAATCTGAAGATAAAATATGGAGCCCTGATTATGTGCTACTAAAGAATTAGTGGATTAAATCTGGCTAGCAGTATAAAAAAAAAGATGCGTAGACTTTAATTTTGTAGAAATTTGAAAATATTAGTGAAATAATTGAAGGTCAGATGAAGATAAAACATCTAATGATAAAACATCTAATTTTATCATTATTAGAGTCCCACAAATTAATTTTGAATTATTTGATTTGATTAATATAATCCCTAAGGCATTTATAAAGTATGTGCCTTGAACATAGTAGATATTCAATCCATAGGATGAAAGAAGGAACCCTTAAATATATATATATAATTAAGGAGTCCTGCTTGTGTAATGGGAACATGTTGGGCTGATAGCCACAAGGCCAGCAGTTCGAAACCACCAGTCGATCCACAGAAGCAAGATGAGGCTTTTCATGCCTGTACACTCCCCGCAGGAGCAGTTCCACCAGTCCTATAGGGTTGTAGGTATAATTACATGGAAAAGGTCTACACCATTCTTGGTCCTTATCAAATAGTCATGTCTTTTCCACAGGCAAGACCCGGTGAGGCTCCCTGGGTTCCTCCCTCCAATACAATCAGATGGCCTTGTCCTGAGAAAACGGACTGAAAATGGGCCTGAGCCTAGAGCTAACTCTTCACTTCTGAAATAGCAGGGATTCTCTGACTCAGCTCAGCACCTCTGACCCATCGGTGGCTCTTTCTAGAGAAATTCTAGGTCCCTATGAAATACCCCTTAAGGATATTTCTAGTTTCTCAGGGCTCATGAACATAATTTCTATATGATGAGTTATTCTTTAAGTTAAAGGCATATCTTTATTCTAGTTCTGGAATGGTTTGAAGAACCGAAGAAGAAAGATATGTAGTAATAATAATGACTATGATATCAACAATAATAACAATAGCAGTCTATCTTGTGGAGGTCTTGGTACAGTCTATACTTGCCTGTCTTTCTCGCTCTTTATCTGCCTATTTACCTATCTATATACCCAATCTCTCACAGCAACTCCATGGCAATAGAATCGACTGTGACACTCCTTCAATACAAAGGAAACCGAGACTCTGAAAAGTTAAGTACGTTCACCAAGTCACACAAGCAGTTAATGGCAGAGCTAAAATTCAAGGTCAGATGCTCTGGCTCCAGAGTCCATGCCTCTATATGCTATTCTGTACAGTCTTCAGTGCCAAGGCCTGAGAAGAGAGGGAGCTATTCATATACTGCTGGACTCGTGGCTTTCATTTTTTAATCTCACTAAATCATCTTTAGATTTAGAGATTTATCCAAGCCTAATGATATGGAAGAGAGTGGGCAGAAAAATAGCACTTGTGGTGCATCTACTATGAGTCAAAAGTGGTGCTAGGTATTTTCCTATACAATCTCAGAGCATCGTTCATTAGCACATCAAACTATTCAGCAGTATACCAGTTTGCTAATCAGAAATTGAGGTTATGACTTTAAAAATAACTTACCAAGAATATATTTTTTAAAGCAAGAATTGAAAAGCAAAACCGTGGCCCACTACATATGCATTTATAAGCCTATAGTTCAAATGAGAGATTACCATATATACTCGTGTATGAGCTGAGTTTTTCAGCACATTTTTAGTGCATTTTTTGTGGTGAAATTAGGTGCCTCGGCTGATATTTGGGTCAGCGTATACTCGAGTATATACGGTTTGCAATTAATGATCCCCACAGACATATTATTAGCGTTTAGATTTACATAGAGTCAAGATTTTTGCAAAGAGAATAGATAACAAAATTTACTTCTGTCTATTCCTGTCGAGATGTACAGTCTCAGAAACCCTAAGAAGCAATTCTACTCAGTCCTATGGGATTCAAATGAGCCAGGATTGACCGGATGGCAGCAAGTTTGGGGTATGGCCCTATGAATGGGGAGGTGACCCAGGCCTGACATCCTACCTTGATAAATATTGTCCCGAAGTGATATTTGTGGCTTTCACATCCATGCAGCTCATCGTGCTGGGAACGAGAGCAAGCTCTGGCTGGATCATGGTGGCTGTGGCTACGGCTCTGGCCACCAGCTCCATCGCGTCTTGGACATAGTACTCAAAGACAGACTGCGTTGTTTTTCCATGAGCAATGAGCCCCAGGGGCAGACCATCGGTCCTCAGTTCCTCCACATTCTGGGAATCCCCCAGCACCCAATGGAGCTCGGGGGGTGTGAACCCGAAGTGGGTGCCGATTTCAAAGATTTGGCGGATACTTTCCATGTTGCAGCCAAACATCACCATGGTGGGCGTGCTGTCCTTGATGGCCTCAAGCTGGACCTGCAGGTAGCTCACCAGGTCCTCAGTGGAGGAGAGGTTGGTGGTGATGCTGATGACAGAGCCGAGGTGGAACCTGGGATTATTCTGGGTGAGGAGGAGGAAGTCGGAGATGTTCCAGTCGTCCCGGCACAGCAACAAGCTAAAATTGTACCAGTTGTTCATGGTCAGGACTGAGACGGTGACATCCGCGTCAGATCTTAAAGAATTTTCTAAACTCAGTTGTAGGTGAAGGGGATTCTGGATTTAAAGATATGAAAAAGAAGAATTAGAAAGCACTGGCCAAAGACTATAGCAAAGGGTATTTTAAAAAATTAATTTTTATATAACATAACCCTTTCATCTTCCCTGTCATATACAAATGTCCCTGGGAGAAAATTGCCTCTTGGGAAAATTTTTGCTTCTTGTCTAATGGAAGAACGTATTGCTTACAACTGATTCCCTGAGAGCTTTTGCTCAGAGTACCAGAGGACAGGTGGCTCCTGGTGTAGATGCCGGAGGTGACACAATCATACATTCGGCCTTTGATTTTTCAGGCTTCTCTACTGCCACACAGGCCCCTTTATGCATCCCATTTCTTCATATTATTGTCATTATCTCATCAGTTAAACGCCACTCTCAGGTGAGATCATTGAAAGAAATTTTTTTGCTTTCTTTGAAAATGAAAACTTTCAATAAATCTCAGATTTATCCTAGCACAGTACACATACTTGTATAAAGACGCTACATAAAACGGATGTAACCTTATTTCTTAAACCTCTTCTCTCCCATCCTTGGAATAATTAGTGATAATGAATCTAGATTAAGTGTTCAGTCCCATATTGAAGACTTCATTGCAAATAGACTCAGCCTGAATTCTTGCTGTGGAACATGTGCCATTTAAATACATTTTTGAAACTTCCATCACCATTTCATGTACTTATGGGACTTGCCAGCCCATGAAAGAAAAATACCATATTTGAAAATTACATTTATTAATCACATAAGTGAAGTGGAAATAGTCTCTCAATAAATAAAATAAATTGCTGTTTTTGAGGGAAGACCTTTGATCCATTCATTGACCACACCGATATCCTGAGAATGGTTAGTGCAGTGTCTTACATATCTTAGAGGCACTATTGATTCAATTGAACTCAGCGTGTTTCCATTTGTGAGAATGCACTCAGCATTTAGGTCAGTACTGTGTGTAAATAGAGGGAAGACCTTTCACAGTCAGGTTTAACACCCTTTTAGGGGTGGGGGAGGGGTGGAAGAGGTAGATTCGCTCTCCTCCCCGAAACTGTGCAGCAGGAAATAGGAACTGAGCTGAGCTTCCAACTCTTCAAAGGATCAAAGAGATTTTGATAGGAGTAGAAGGCATTTGCCTGAATCCATGTTCCAGAGCTTTAAATCTCAGCAGATTTCCATACTTTTTTCTCCTTTCAGGCAGTGTTTAGTTTTCTAGAAGGAATTTATGGCCAAAGGCAGGAGAGGAGAGCAATCATGGGGGCCAGTGAGATGTGAAAATCAAATCTGTAGCCGGGAGTTGATATGGACTCATAGTAACCCCCAAGTGCAGAGGAGAACTGCCCGTAGTGTTTTCAAGGTGGTACTCGTGATGCCAGCAGACTGCGACCTAGCGAGTTCTAACTGCCCCCTTTTCAGGTAGCATCCCTGTGCTGAACCACTGAACCAAGAGTACTTCTTGGTTGGGTGCCTGAGGGTTTAGACATGTACTGAGAGTTTGATTATGGTGCTTCCAAATTAGGCTTTACAGTAAAGTTTTTAGAGGATTATCTCTGGGGATCATTTGCCAGGGAATCTAGATTAGGGACTAAGGGTTTGAGTTGAAAACTCGTGTTGATAAGCAGGGCAGTGAGGAAATGTTTTATTTTTTTTAAATCCACCTGGGAGGCAAAAGAGAAGGGAGGTGTCAAACACCAGAGAAAGCCTCTAAGAGGCTGTTCCTAGTTTTCCAAACCAGGTCAGAAGCTGCACCTCATCACTTTTGCTTTTATACGTATAATTTGCTCCAGAGGATTCCTCTCTCTTCTTCTTTTAGTTTCTTTCCTTTCCACCCTCTCTCCCTTCCTCCTCTGCCTTAACCCACTTCTCAAAGCAGAGAGCAAGGGAAGGCAAGTGATCTATTTAACTGGGAAGAACAAATTATTCCCAACTCTTTTCTTGGCTTTTGCTGCCAGTTTTCTTTCTAAAACACAACTACGGCCATGTCACTCTTCTGCACTATAACTCCTGAATCACCGGTGGGGCACATTTCAAAATCACTGGTATGGCTTAAAAGCTCACTCCCAGTCTTAGACACGATGCCCAGCAACCCAAACATACTAAGACAAGTCACACGGGGCAATTTGTTTCCCCACAGTAGAGGCACACGTTTGCACACCTAGACAGATTGGACTATGCTGATCATTTGCTTGCATTCATATTCAAAAATTTCAAAATCCACCTCACTTATTAAGGTTTCCATAGTGAGTGTGTGTGTGTGTGTGTGTGTTAGTATTTACTAGTGTTTCTGCTGATGACATTTCTCTTCTCACAATATGAATCCCCACAAGGGTGAACTGAGTATTTGCCGCACTTTGTTCCTCTGGCTGCCGCCCAGATAGAATGAAGCATCTTTCATCTGTGTCATGGGGCACTGTGTTCACCACTCTATTACAGAACTCTTTATGCTAGATGATGACTATTTGGTCAAATGTTAATCCTCCCCTAGACTGGGTGCTTCCTTAGGACAAAAACCACATCTCAACCATTTCTGCTAGTTAGTGAGCAGTTCATGGGAGATCGTATTGGTCAGATGTGATTTCCCTTCACTGTAAGCCTTGGGGTATGGCCGTTGGCTCTTTGCTGAAAGACTGGGTGGAAAACCATTTCTTGCAGCACTTTAATGCTCATTCTGTGGCTGCAGGTGGCACAAAGGACCATCCAACAACTGCCTCCAGGGGGCCTCACTAAATTAGTGAGGAATAAACTCTAATGGAGGCAGGGGTGGGACTGTGGTCCACTTGCTGAACAGAGAAATGAAATTAGGTTCCTCAGATTAAGCGTTTAGCCAAAGACAGAGAAACGCATGTGTTTGACACAAGAGAGAGGCATGGGGTGAAATGTGGATTCCACTGAAGTATAATGATTAATCCATATAATCACACTAGTTCCTAAAAATAACTCTATTGAGAAATTGCAGATGGTGCAGTCAATCTTTCACAGACTTAAAGGACCCAATTCTTCAAACAAATGTTATGTAAATAGTAGTTTAGAGACATCAAGTTCGATGCCATTTATCTAGGAGCCTCAGATGCAGCATCTCCCACATTCTCTCCAAATAATGACAAAGGCGCGCGCACACACACAGAGAAATATGTCACAACTCATGATACTAATACTGAAAGCTGATAGTAAAACCTCTGCTAAAATTTGCATCAAAATTAAGCCAGACCAATGAAACTAAATTGAGAATCAAAATGTGCATCTGACATTAGCTTGCCATTTGCATATGCAGAGCCGTGACCTGAAAGAAGGTGTAAAGATTTTTTTAAAAATTCACATGATTCGCTTCCTAACTTAGAGACCCAGAAGCAGAACAGCCCAAGAAGCTAGAAACCTCTTTCTACTTCGCAGATCGATTGGCACTCCCTATTGAAGGCATTAAGCTGATAGCAATTGAAATACATATTCAGGTTTAGGAGAGGGAGACAACAAATAAGAATGAAAATAGGATTGGTAATTCTCATTCCCCTAATTGAGTGTCTCCTTGAGGCAATTCCCAACAGCGCGGGCTGGAAACGGCAGTGTCGCTGGGCACTCAGAGAGCTTTATTGCAACAAGTCAAGTGAGGAGTTAGAGGAAGAGTGAGTTCATCAAAAGGCGATGCAGTGGCTTCAGGGTGGCAGAAAGCCACTGAGTGGTGCAGAGAAAGCCTGCTTACCCTGCTATGGATCAGAGTGCATTTATAACTAATAAAACACCAATGCTCCACTGATACACAATCATACCACAATGGTAGGAAATGTGGAAAACAAAAAATGACAGAGCCCTTGCCTTAGAAGATATTCAAAGACAGCAGAAAAGGATATTTTCATAAAACAATAATAATTAAGATAGAGTAGCACTAGTAAAAAGATTGACCAGTAAACAATAGAACAGATGCTATGTTATACACAAATAGTAAGTAGATTTAATATATAAAGTTAACCTTATAAAGGAAGAATAATAAAATACAGAAGATACATCTTATTTGAGATTAAGAGTTGGAAAAATAGATGCTGTAGCAAAACAATACTTAAATTCTGAATCCAATCAGAAGCTAAAGAGGAGTCCAGGTGGCACAGTGGGTTCGTGTTGAGAGGCTAATCGTCTGGAACCTTCCAGGTTCTTAGAGGCAGAAGGATGAAGCTGTGTGCTCCCATGAAAGAGTTACAGTCCCTGAGACCAGAGAGGGCTGTTTTCCTCGGTGCTGTAGCGTCAGTATGAGTCAGATTCCACTCCACGGGAATGGATTTAGTTCCACCAGATATTTTAAAACATCCTAAGTTCAATATGAAATAATTAAAAAATAAATCAATAAGGCAAAAATGTCTCTGGCATTGCAAATATAAAAAGAAATAGGTTAGGCAATGCATTATATTATATTGCTGGCATTAAACATCTCCATAAAGAAAAAATAAAGGGAGATGAGAAACAAGAGAATATGTGCAGCAAAATTGCTAGACAAACAGTTCAAGTTCATAAATATAAAGAAAATGTACTAATCAATAAGGAAACAGAATGCTTAACTAGGAACTCAATCACTCAATAAAAAATGTCAAGTTCCTACTATGTGACCTGTGCTCTATCAGGCATTTTCTGCTGTCTGTAATCAAGTGGGTGAGAGATGAATCATATATATATCTATAGAAGTAAATATCTTATATATTTATAGAAGTCACTCTCAAGGAAACAAATGGGTGTAGCAAGTGTGACAGAGTGGAAAACATGTCCCAGAAAAGTTTAATAATCACGATGAGTAAGGTTAAGTTGCTTCAAGAGTTTGCTTTTTAATTAATTAATCTTTTGTATAAACACTCACTAATAGAGACTTCCGGCAACAATGGAATGTGTATTGAAAATGAAGGAGCATCACATCAGTAAGCACTGGTGTTGACTCATAGAAGACCCTATAAGACAGGGCAGACATGCCCCCATAGCATTTCCAAGACGGGACCCTTTCTTTAAGGCAGCAGACTACCACCTCTTTCTCCCTT